CACACACACACAGGCGTGTGTAAAGAATGCATGCATAATGCTTCCTGAGGAGGAACACAGGGTCAGGTGGGTTGTTGTCACTGCTTTAATCCACCGGTCTGCAGGAGTAATCTCTGCATTATTGTTGTTGTTGTATCAGTCAGGGAGGGAGGGAGACCACCCTGCTCCTCTCAGCTGTGGGTTGATGAGGTAGCTGACCTTTGCACATTACGTCTCCGTGTCCACCTGCTCTCGTCTCCGGAACTGTTTCCACCTCGAAGCCCACAACAGGTGTGACCCCTCTGATCTCCAGGTCCCCCCCTCGCCCCGACTCTGATGTCATTCATTAGTAACTGACATAAGAGCAGAGATAAGTTGCTCGTGGGTTGATTTATTGAACTTAATCACCCTGCACACTCATCACTCCGCCAGCCATTTCAGCAGAAGCGGCGCAGTTGAATGTGGCTGCATAAGTCCACACCCTTTTGCTCTGTGTCCCCTGTGGCCCAGTTGCCCACTGGGCTTTCCCCCCTACCCATCTGCTGTTAGACTCTGGGTTGTAGCTGCCCTCTAGTGGCTGCTGGGTGGAAACTACACTCTGAATGCAGCCTAATAGGCCCATAGGTTCTGCGGTACGGGGATTAACTGGAGATTAAAGTTAAAATTAACTTGCTTAAAACAGCTGCGTCCCTTTTTTCACTTTTTTTCCCCCCAACAGATTACTGATAATGTCTGTCTAGACGGAGATATCCACTCCATCACTGTACATGAGTGGGTGCCAACTGCGATTATCAAATCAGTAAAGACTGAACAAAATGTAGAATTGAGTTTTGAAAGTGTAATTAAATGTCAAATATCATATCTGTTTCGTAGGTTGTTCACTTAATCTTTGATCAGATGTTTCCTGATTTTAAACCCAGAAAACCTTTCCAACTTTAGACATTATTTTCTTTAGATAAAGTCCTTCAAGTAACAGTTTAGGCATATTTTGTTGTTAAATTCTGTAAACTGAGGTAGGAGTATGTACCACAACTCAAACGGCCTACTCCAAACCCTTTTTTGGTCATGAGCGGTTCAAAAAATGTGTTTTTTTTTTGTCTATTATTTCACAAGAAAAAATGTTTAATGGCTAAAGAATGAAAAAGAAAGCAAAAATAAACCAAATTCTTTGTAGAAAAAGTATGTTTCTGATTCTCTCCGATCCCCTTACTCATTCTCCCGAGCCCACTGGGAGGCTGGAAACCGCCGCTGTACATCATGCATATCTTGTGGTTCAGTTTGCATCACTTTTTTCTTCATTTATAGCAACAGTGTGATGACACAGTTAATTCATGTGGGTGCTGCTTCGACACAGGAAACCTCTGATGCCACATGTTGAGTCTGGAGAGTGTTTCTCTCACCAGTAGGGGACAGGATTCACACTCTGAGCCGAGTCTTCACCCCCTATTTGGCTTTCCGGGCTTCAGATTCGGGAATAAATGGAGTCCTTAAGCTCTTTCTTGGCTTTCTTGTGTCAGCTTTTTAGGAGTTTCTGCCTGTCCTCCACTGACCCTTTCTGTACTTTGTCTCAATTGCCACAGCCTGTGTTTAGAGAAAACACCCCGCGGTCGTGTCTGCAGGCTGGTTTGTTTGTAACACGCTGACTAAAGGCTCATTCAGCAGTTTGAAACTCCTCATTCTTCTCTTTCCTGTGTATTTCCTGTCAAACTCCTGCTTATTCCTCCTCCTCACACCTCTGTGTTTTAAACAGTCTGGGCAGAGAGGAGAAAAACTTTATTTTGTCTTGGGAGGCAGCCGCAGTGGAAATAAAAAAAGAAAGGTGGGGCTAGGCCTCTGTGCGTTAATCTTTTGGCCCGCAGTCATGTTATGAGTGTTAAGGGGATTAAAACATATCACCAAACTAATCTGCCCGTTACACCGACAACCGTGCTCCCCTCTATCCTGCGTTCCCCTCCCTCCCTCCCTCCTCTCACTTTTCCACTGTTTGTTATCAGGGGGCAGGAGGCAACGAGGCATCACTCCTCGGAGATTAGCAGCGCGTGTCGGCCTTTGATTTCCTGACTTCAAGAGCGTTGTGCTGCCAGGATATGATTAAAAAAAGAAATAATATGATATAATATGAAGTCTGTGTTGTCTCCGGGCTGCGGTGTGTTTACTCAAATAGTTCCATGTCAGATAAGGGAGGTATGCTCCCCGTGATGTACATTAAGCCCACATGCAGATGATGGATGTGCGGCAGTGTGTCTACCTGCCTGCTCGGGCATGCTTCAGCCAAACAGTAGACAGTGCGGGTCACTGCTGGGAGGGGTGCTATTGTCACAACTCTTCAAGTGTGTCCTCCATGTAAACTGTAACTCAACGCTTTTTTGTTCATTTTCTCTTTTGTCAACCTCTCAGTTTTTTCTTTTTTTCCCCTCCTCCTCCTCCTCACGCTCATCCACCTCTTTTTTGTGTGTGTGTAAATGCCTCCATGGTTCATGAAAAGGAGAAAGAAAGAGTGGGAGCTGGACAGACAGAGGCCTTTTGTTTCCAAATTAGGCACTGCTCCCTCCTTGCCAAAACTAACTGTTATTGTGAAAAATGTGATATGAAATCCCCACTCAGCGGTGCCACTGTGAAATGGAGCGCTTGTGTATTTCTCAGATATTAAACCCATGTCTGGCTTTAGACCGGAGATACAATATGATCCAACTGCTGCTCTGAGCGGCTGGTCTGTGATTCCCTCGTTCACTCGGGTGTGGTCTGTTCTCACATCTCTCCCCTCCTGGGTGAAGAATCGGACCTCCTCGTTGCGCCCGACGGTGATCCAAGTCTCCTCTCCACAGGGGCGGTTCCACCAGAACCCTGAACCCTGGTCTGAGCAAACAGAAAGGGAGGGAGCAGAAGGAACCCCCCCCCCCAACAGCCGCAGCCTTCTGACTTTATGAGGAACCCTAATTACATAGCCTAGTGTATTTATACTCAGCTGTGACTCAGTGGGACATGTGGCGTGTGTTTGTGTGTATGTGCAATGCACAGGAGAAGCAGCCTTTGTGTTCACACACAAAAACGTTATGTGCGTGTGTGTATAAGTGAAAGTGTGTGCTGACTCTTTAAACTATTTAAACCAGGGATGGAGTTGAGGGTAGAGCCAACTAAACCTGCTTATTTGTTGCAGAAAAGGTGCTTTTAAAGGGACGCCATTTCACTTTTGGAAAGAGAAATAACCCAATGTTCCTCTTACATATATTGCTCAATTCAGTATCCTCACTACAGCCTTACTTGGTAAGGTATGACCAGTAGCTCTTAATGGCTAGCTGATGTTAGCAAACTTGAGGTGTAAGTGAGTCAGTTTTCTGTCAAACAAACACACCGAACCTCACCAGGACTCTTTCTTTGTCCTGTTTGTGTTTTGCTCAGTCACAGCGGTGAACACTGATGTCTTTTAAAGGGGCACTTTAAAGCCCAGAGTAATGTCATTAGGGCTGTTATGAGTTGGTCTTGGATGGAAAGTCTGTGTTGGAAAACTGGTGGCATGGAGTTTTAATGGCTTGGGCGTTCACCAGACAGGGAGGTTCGAAATAATGAAATACACTATCGTGTTGCATTATGGGAAGTGTAGGAGTCAGGGTTTTGGAGCTTGACCGATACAGTGGACTGCTCTTTCGCCTTTTGTACGTCTATTTCTGTCACTTCTAATGTGTATAACTGAGTGTAACACCGAAATGTGCTGTTATTTCTTTATTTTAACAGCGAGAAGGAGAAACTTCAGAGATTGTTTGTCCCTTCTGTGCTACTGTAGAAACACGGTGATTCAACATGGCGGACTCCATGGAAGGCAACCCACGCCCGCCTGTAGATATACGACTCACTCTGAGACCAATTATCTGCCATTTTGAGATAATGGGCTATAACTGTCATTCATCCGGCTGTAACCAAATACCTGAAGTTCCTACAGAAGAGAGTAGAATTATACTTCATGACTTTTCTTTGTTTCGATATTGGCATTATATAAAAAAAATGGAAATCCTCCAAAATCTATCTATCTATCTATCTATTGTTACACACTGGACCTTTTAAGCAGCTAACAACACATTTATCTTTTGTATTTTCATTGTGATTTTGATTTATTCTTTGTTTGGATTTTCTAGGACTTTCTTGGCAGTGCACAAACCTTCCTATAAAAGCTCCTCCACAAATCTAAAATGTGTGTTATGACATCAGACTGTACACCATCCCATTCTTTGTAACTGTTCTTCTAAACAAACAGGAAGAAATAACACAACAAAGACGGATCAAAACAATGCAACTCTTGAGGTCAGACCCTAAAACCATCCTCTAATAGCTCGCTCTTTATAACAGTGGATATTTGCATTGTGTTTCCTGATATTCTCGAGCCCACAAATTACCTTTCTTTGAATTTATCACCTCCTCCGTTCTGCATTAACTATTCGAGCCTGCAGAGTGTGTTCTTGTAGACAAGGCGCAGCATATCCAGAGGGTACAGTCTCTGTGTCTATGGCGGCCTGCTGCAGTCGAGTTGATACTTGCCCCGTCGTGCGGCAGGTGAAACCTGTCTAACCTCATTGGTAACGGATGTACGGCGTGTTAACAACGATGAGCGTTGGAGGGGAAAGTCTGCAACAACATGGTCACCTGTCTGCCGCTCTCGCACGAATTCTGGACGCCTGGCTGTTTGGTGAGAACTCTGCTGTGTGTGGGCGACCGGACGGGACGCGGACAGGCCATCTTTCTGACTGATTTAGTAGCGTGGAGTTTAGGTGTCACTGTGCTGTATGGGGTGGATCCTGTTTAATAGGAGAGAGATTGTGTGTGTGTGTGTGAGGGAGTTTGATAGAGCGGTCATGCTGACATCCAGTAGCAGTCGGTTTATTTTGAGAGCGCTCTCCTCTTTCTTGTTCAGCTCTTTCCATGTTCTCCTCTCATTATCATCTTCCCTCCTCTATATTTTTCCCTCTTAAGCGAAAAAAGAAAGGGAGTGAAACACAGTGAACACAGCAGCAAGGCAAATGTTTTCTTTTCTCTTTGTGCTGGAAATTGGCCTCTTTTTCTCCCCTTTTTTCTTTTTTGTTTGTCTCTCCTCTGGGTGGAGGGGAGGCGGCGGCGGAGGCAGGGCCGGCTTTTGTGGAGTTTAGCGCCGGGATCACAGCTTTGTCGCTGTGTTTGTGTCGCACACACACGCGGCACACGTGCGGCCAACCAGGCTGCCTCTGTACGCGGCACAAGAGAGATCTACAGTGTGTTTAGCCTATGGGCAGCAGCCTATAGGCGATATCTCCATCTGGACTGTTAACTGCTGGATCAGGACCCTCTTCCTCCTCCTCCTCCTCCTCCTACTCCTCCTCCTCCAGTGCCTCAGTGATGTCCAGTGTTTTTGGATCAAACTACAGTTCCAGTTGACTGTACCAGTTGTTTGTTTGCTGATGACTGTCGGACCGGTTCGTGTGGAGGGAGTGAGTGATTGTTTGGATACGGATTGAGTAACAAAAACAAGGAAGGAAGAAAAGAAAGCAAAAGAGAAAAGGAGGTGACGGAGCTGGAGTGTGCTCAGATAGAGAGAGTCAGAGTTTGGGATAGAGATGAGAGAGAGAGAGAGAGAGAGAGAGAGATGAAGGGATTTGTGTGGCACTAGAGATATAGGGAGAAGAAAAGAGAGAGGAGAGAGAGAGAGAGAGAGAGAGAGAGAGGGCAGTGGGAGGGAGGAGAGAGAGAGAGAGGATCCAGCCCTCTGGGACAGCAGTGTGTGTTTTGGGGGTGGACAGAGTGGCTTTGTATGCAGAACATCACTGGACACCAACGGGAGGGACGCTGTCAGTTGTTCTCTGTGTGTGTGTGTCTGTAGTGAAACCAGACCTACCTCTGATCCCTGCGCCACACACACACACACACACACACTCCTCCATCTGCTGCCCGGGAGCCTGCCTTCTGCCTCCCTCTGGACTGAACCCCTCTGAGAGTGTTTGAATGTGTGCGAGAGAGTCTCGCAGAGCTGATTCCCGGAGGTCAGGAGCGATAGGCTGTGATGTGGAACTTGTGGGATTAAACTTTTCTGGAGGCTCGGCAGTGACAGCGATGAATTGGAGCCGAGAGACGGGAACTTCAGACTCTTGAATGACTGGAGGAGGATTTGCAAGCCCCACTAAAAACCACCCGTCTTCTCTTTTCCCTGATTCTATCTTCTGTACTTCTGCGCCTGGACCTTGTCCACGACCTCGTGTTGAGTGTGTGAGCGGCCCATGTGGGCGGTGAGGGATGTGGATCTGAGCAAACTGCACGCCCCGATGCCCGCTGCTATGCTCCCGTGCTCTGCACCGGCCGGGTCTGACTGGAGCTTCCAGAACCCGGTGGGGGTGGACTGCAGCTCCCCCGAACCCCGCTGCATCTGGCTGGCGGTGCTCCGCGGTGCCACGGGTTCAGTGTCGCCCCCCACGCCGCCCACCATGCCCATTGGGCACAGTCACCAGCCCAGGGTAAGCAGAGGTCACCCATCTTCCTCTAGTGGCCGGATACAGAGTCATTGATTTTTAAAGCAGTTTAATGATTGGTTGATTGATTCTTATTGATTGTTAATTGAAGGCTATAATAATAATCTGATAATAAGGACTGTGTTTATGTATTTCTAAAGTAGCAAATAGCCTGTAAAATGTCAGCACATAAGGACAGGAGCTCCCAGAGCCTCGGGTGTCATCTTCTACTGCTAAATAAATCTGTTTTAAAAGGTTTCCTGTCATATAAGATAGAAAAAAATGCAGATTCTCACATTAAACATTGTAGTTTCTACCACCTAGGCAGCCCCTCCTGTATTTTACAAGCTAAGATATGGACGCAGATGTGTTGTTTGCTGCCCGCGGGATTTCTGCGGCTCTCCAGAAATAAAACTCCACACAGTGAGATCAGCAGAATCCTCCCCAGAAACCGCCGTGTGGGACTTTTGCACTCACAAGTGTCAACAAAGTATCCGTGTAACTGTCAGCCCATTGTTTGAAGTCTGTTAACCACTCAGCTGCTGACAGATTCTTTACCTCTCCAGCGTCTCCAGGCAGGTAGTTTGTGTGTGTTGTGTTGCCTTCGGGGCTGTTTGTGCTTGCCGCTCACTCGCTGTGATCCTCTGACCGTCCGGGGGAAGCGGTGTGACGTCACTTTGTGTTGATGGATTAAGATGCTGTTGAGAGTATTACTGTAATGTTTAAACATCTTCTCTTCTGGGCTTGTTTATTCTCTCCGGGGTGGCCTTCATACGCTGTTTTTTTGAATTCAGATTGTCCTCGTTATTTGCGGTTTGGCAGGTTTTCTTTGTGATGGAAAAGATATCAGTCCGATAAGCATCATCTGGGTTTCTTTCTGTGAGGTAATGGTAAACAAAGTTGTGCAAACAATGAGATCAGCGACACTGCAGAACGAAATCAGATATATATCGTTTACCTTTACTTTTTACTTCTTTGAAGACCATTTCATGTAGCTCACATTATTTTTTTAACACACTTACAATATATAGTATGAATAATGCATTGAAGATATGCATTAAAGATATAGAAGAGCTTGATTCTTCTGTTTCTCTGTGCTGCTTCATTCTTATTTTTCCTACAGCTGATGTCTGTATATTGACCCTTTTTCTTCCTTGGAGTTGTTTCTAATTAGTGGCTGAAGACAGATGCAAGGGGGCTGCTACGTGCCACTTTTAGCGAGGTGTTGTGGAAGCTGTGTGATTGAGCATACCCAACCCCACCCCCGCCCCTACAGCGACCCTCAGAATTCAGGGCATCACTTCCCTCACGTGATCCCATTATAGTGTGGGCATTTATGTGGAATATTACTTCCCCCTTTTTCCTTTCCAGGTTATTACCATCCCCCCCACCCTCACCCCGACCCACGACAACTTGACACAGTTAAGAAATGCCACAATCAGGAATGTGAGTGTTGAAGGGGGGGAGAGAGGCAGTACGGACACAGCTGAGACAAACACACACTGTACACTGTTGTTATAAAGGAGAGAGGTTTCTGTTACAGGGAGGAATTTTTTGGTAATGAGATGGCAGTTCCATTTATTTGTCACCATACTCAAGTTGCTCCATGTCACATAATACATACATACATACATAATCCTAACCTTATGTTGCAAATGTTTACCTACAGGAGCCCTCACAACCAGAAAAACACTATCAAAGTTTGGAAAAACCATCGTCAAGTCAACATTATTTACTTATTTCACGTCAATAAGGTTACAAAAATGTGACAAATGTGATTGTCAAGGAAGTTTTTTTTCTATATAATGGCTAAAAACCTGATACACCCTCTCACGCAAGCGTAGAATCCATGTGAATCGTTATATAATGAGCTCTTTTTGTGGTCCTGTCTCCTCATTCAGACAGTAGAGGCAGGAAGGGCTGCATTTAAACCCTCGTCATACACTAACTACATGTGCTACTCTTTGTGCCCGCTGTGCTACCGAGTCACCCCGTAAAAGTTATTCTAAAACTTCTCCTCCTCCCTCTGGGCTCACGATTTAAAATGACCATCAGGGCTATAAAGATGGCGGGTCAGGTGTGAGTCAGACAAAAACACAATATGTTTCGCTGTTCAAGAAAGCTAGAAAACCCTGTTTAACTGACATTGCATCATCACCTGTTGGCCTAGTTAAACTGCCAATAACTGGTTTTTGAGCACACATACCATATTCATATTGACACTTGGGCGCGTGCAAACACACACACACACACACACACACACACACATACAGGCCCACAAGCATGGCTCATAAAACACCTTGTTATGTAAATAACACAGGGATGTGCTGTATTTGAACCCCTGCTGCTTGTTCTGATCTTTATTTTGAATCCTCGGTTGTCGGTCAGGGTTGTGTCCTTCGGTTGGTGGTTGGATATTCGTACACACTCATCATGCATCTCCTTCAGGAGGCATAAGGATGCATTTAGACCTGCAGAGGTGGTGGAGCACGCCAAACGTGTGGCCGGTGAGTCCCAGGAACGATCAGGGACGGTGTTTGACTTTTCACCGTCCCTCTCCCGTTTCCTCTTGGCAGCCCGGCTCAGGGGGCTGCGGGTGCAGACAGGAATCAGGATTAAAGGCTCGTCAGCATTTGTAACGTCCGTAAAGCTCCACTTTTCAAACAGGTTGCAGCTCTCAGCTGTTTAAAAGAGCATTATTGTTCTGCCCTGCTGGGGTTTTAGCAGGAGCCCGGGCTCCCCGACAGCCGCTGCATTCCTACGTGCTGCTTTACCTCTGGATGGAGTGAGGAGTGTGTGCTAACCAACACGTACGCTGCTACTGACGATTATGATATGACGATATCATCATGTCCTAGAAAAGCCTCTTACAAACCCAAAATCCATTTTCAGCAGACTTTTTGTGAAAGATAATCACTGACATGTTGAAAACTGGTGGAGCTTTAAATGTTGGCGCCGCGAGTTAAAATCCGAAGATCTTACAGATTCCACTAAAACAGAAGAGTTCTCAGCAGGACATCCTCTGCCTGCACCACTTACATTCTGTCTTTGCATCTTAATGATACACTCTCTAATTGAAATCAGGCGGGGGAAAAATCAACAGGGAAGAGCTTGCTGCTGTGTGTGTGTGTGTTGTCACCACTTTACCCACTAAACACCCCCTCAAAGCAGGAAGCTGTCGTGTGGCATTACAAAGTCGCTCTGCATATTCAAAAGCAATTGTTTCCACTGTGGCTTTTTTTTTTGTGTGCGTTTTAATGACATAATCTTCAGGTGGTAATGTGATTCCCTCAAGGCTCTGTATTATTCAAAGGGCACTCAGAGTTTATTTGTTAACGTAATTGGCTGAAACCTGCGAGTACGTGTCGCAGATTTCCGTAAAAGGAGTGCTAAAAGGATAAATTCCCAGTAGGAGAGTAGGAAATACCAAAAATCTTCTTTTCTCAGCAGAACAAGAGCGAGGTTTCCCTCGTCTGTGCCCTAAGCCTGCATAGGAAGTCAAGTTTAGACTGAAAACCACAGAAGAAATTTTCCAAGTGCCTTGTTGGTTAAGTGTCCAACTGTCTGGAGAGGCATGTCAGCAAGTTTGGATCATCTTTTTTTTTTTCATCTTTTGGCTAAAAAACTTGAACCGAAGAAGACAAACTGGTTGCATCAAGGTGACAATAGTGCAACAGAGAGGTTTTTTTATTTCTTCGGGGGGG